ACAGGATTGCTGAAAACGGGTGCATAAGCAAATGTGGTGAAGAAAGCTGATGGTGCCTGGCTATCAAAAGATATAGCGTCTGGGGTCTTAAAGGCCTGAAAATAAACAAGTGGCCATCTAGCTGAGAAACAACAAAGCCCACATTTAACACCGATGAAACACACAACTTCCCTCTAGCTCTTTGCTGCTTCCTTCACCCCACTATCATGATCTCAACTCTACCTTACGAAGTGGTGAAATCTCTTAACTTCAATTCTAACAGTGCAAATCTAACAGTCAATTAAGAAACTAAAATTCTAAATGCATTATTGTTAAAAAACATTTTGGGTACAGTGTGTCAAGCACTGGACTTCTAACTTCAAGGTCATCGGTTCAAACCCACCAGACTCTCTAAGGGAGAAAGATGAGGCTGTCCTCCTGAAATCAACGTGACGGTAGTGGATTTTTAAATATAAAAGAAAGCTCATGGCATCAAAAGCCTAACAAAATTAAAATATGGGATTTTATTACACGTCTGTATTATTAACAACATGTTCGTTTCTTTTAAATCAATAATCTATCTTTATAAAAATTATACTGCCTTTTGAAAAAGCATTTACTCCTGGTGGCAAGGAAGGCAATATTAACAAGAAAGTTACAAAATGAGGCCACACTGGTTTTAAACATTTTCCACACATAATTGTAAATTACTATTGCTCTCTTTTAATAAGTCTTAACGTTTTTAAATTAACCCAGAGAAATTTAAGACTTGACCAGACAGGTTTATATTATATAAAAGATCATGAAGGGTCAGGTGGAGGAACAGAGGAAAAGATGCAGCCTCAACGAGATGGCTTGGAACAGAGGCTGCAAACAACCAGCTCAAACCTAACAATTGTGAGGATGTGCAGAGTCGGGCACATGCTTTCTTCTGTTGTACATAAGATTGCCATACAGACTCAAACCCACTAACACCATGTTATAAAAAATTATTTCCCTTAAGAATAACAGAACTCAGGAGCCCAAATGAATATTCTCTTTATGACAGTTTGTGATTACTTTAATAACTAGCTTGTGACCCATGATGGAAGTCAGACAGGCTTCATGGTCACATACCACCTCTGTTCTATATGACCATTTTACTAATAATCAAGAATGTAGAACAAGTTTTGTGGGAAATTTCAAAAGTAGCTTTAAAATGCATTAGAAAAACGATATAAATAAACATCCAAAGTTAAATGGATGAAACCATGGGTAAAACTATGAGAACCTTTTAGAGTTGTGACTCACTAATCCCAAAAAGTACCAGAGTACTGAACTGAACGAAACAAAACAGGCCACCTAACAATGATTTTAAAAATCAAGCAATGTCAATTTAGGCCCAAATCACTATTAAAGGAAGCAGGAGAGTGAACACTATACCCCAGAAATACATTATGCAACATGCCATTAAAAAGTTGTATGATTCTGTAACTTTATTATGTTTGGAAAGAAAATGACGCATTATATGACCACATATTAGAAACGATATTTTTGACAGAAAAAGATTAAATACTTCATAAAAAAACATTTCTGGACGCCCTGCTTAAAAAAAAAAAAAATTCTGTTGTGAGAACAATTGTCAAATGAGAAATCATTAAAAAAAAAAAAAAAGAGCTGTGAAGTTATAGAGAAGGTACACCCAGAGGGCTGAAATGTAGATTACATTAATCTAGAATTACCAGGCTCAAAGAATCACATCCTGATATCAAAATAATTCCCTAGAGTCTTAAAGTTTAACATTCAAAGCCTAAACTCTTTTAGGAATTATTTTTTTTAATGAAACAAACTTATTTTGGTGACTTATTTCAGTTTTCCAAATAGCACATCAGTTTAGGAGGAAAAACTCTATTATACCCTGGGAAAGCGAGTACCTGTGTAAAGTGGAAACCTGTCGTAGATAGAAACCTCACGTATTTGCCACTAAAACAAGCCACAGAAACTTGTAAGAGCTGGGGAAAAAAGGCAGTTACTGGTTTCACAGCCTAACCCTAATGCGATAATAAGAAAAAGCAATCAGGTTCATATTACTTGCAAATAATATGACAATCCACTCCACCACACTAATATTCAACTTTTTGCTATTAAGAGAACATCCAGGAACTCCAATTGTTTGCAACAACCTGGGGTTTTCAAGAAATCTATTACTCGACACTCATGATTCTACTTCATTTGTATTAGTGGTTAACACAGTTTATTTTCTCTAAACGGTGAACAACTTCAATAATAGTTCCCAAACCTAGCTCACTATCAAAGCTTCAATTCTAATCCTTAATCTGGGGCCTGAGAATATTTCTGTTTTTATGTGTATCACAGGTGATGCTGCCTGTAAGAAAGCTTCTGCCAGAGGCAGGAGCAGTGTTGTATTCCTTTTATTACCGAAAGCATCTAAAATAACACAAGTGCCTGACAAAGAAAAAAGAGCCCCAGTGGTCCTGTAAATTAAGGTTTGTAGTTCAAACCCACAAAAGGCTCCAAACGACAAAACACAAAGCCATCTGAACCCATATATATTTGTAGAAAATCATAGCTACGAATCATTCAACTAGATGTCAGGCTTGGGTGCCAAAGAAATAGGGATTTGATACATGTTTTGTTGCAAGATTGAATGAACAAAAGTGCCATATGGGAAGGGAATATTAAGTCATTTATGCTCAAAAATCTACTTCTTATAGAACACAGGCTTACCAAATCAAAGTAGGTTTTTAACTTCCTTACATTTGTAATTTTCTTAAAACATTGAAACACTAACTGTTAAAATGGTTGTTACATTTAAGATAACTCAACCTGAGCAGGGATTCTTAACAGCCTCATTCCTCTCACTCCACTCCCTTAATCTGTAGAAAGAATAATCCAGAGAAGTAAATAATGAAATTACTGAGTACCAAATAATCAAGAGAAACTGGATTATATGAAGAATGCAGCATCAGAATTGGAGGAAAGTTTCTTAACAACCTGTAACATGCAAATGACATAATCTTACTTGTTGATGAAGATAAAGGATTTCAGCCTTCAGTATGGGTTACAACAATGTAAAGGAAACTAAAATCTCACCACTGGACCAATAGGAGAAAGCTGCGATCCAACAGTTCAGCAATTCAAAACCACAGCCTTTCCACCAGGATGGGGCTTTCTACTCCTATAAACGGTTAGTCTCAGAAACTCACAGGGCAGTTCCACTCCGTTCTCTAGGGTCAGTATCGACTTCATGGAGTGAGGACAATAGGTAACATCACGATAAACAGAAAAACTTGAAGTTGTCCAGGATTTCATCTTGCTGGCACCCACACACAATTCTCATGGAGAAAGCAGTCAAGAGATCAAGCAATGCAATGCGTTAGATAAATCTGCGGCACAAAATGTCTTTGAAATGTCGAAAAGCAGAGATTACTTTGAAGACTAAAGTAAACCTGATCCAAGTCATGTTTTTTTCAGTTGCCTCATATGCAGAAGCAAGTTGGACAATGAATAAGGAAGACCAAAGAAAAAGTCAATGAATGTAATGTATGGCGTTGGCAAAGAATACTGAAAGGACCAAGGATTACCAAAAGAACAAATTTCAGAAAAGTACGACAGAATGCTGCTCCCTAGAGGCAAGGATAGAGACTTGTCTCATGTACTTTGTGCATTTTTTTAGGATAGCAGTCCCACGACAACGTGGATTGACACAGTGGCTGCAAAAATGGGCTCAAACACAAGAACAATTGTGTGGACGGTGCAGGGCCAGGCAGGGTTACTTTCCGTTGTACGAGGGTTTTGATGACCGAATGGCCCCTAAACAACCACAACAACCCAGTATCTAATACGTGCCGAGACTTACATTTCTTCCCAGTTACTAATCCTTAGTGTCTTTTTCCACTTTAAAAATCCAAGTTACATGACTAGATGAATTATCAATTAATCTTTTACCTTTTTACTAGCCCAGGTGTTGAAGTATCATAATGAAAACCCACACCACAGTGACCCTCTAGGCCAGTGGTTCTCAACCTTTCTAATAGCGCGACCGTTTAATAAAGTTCCTCATGTTGTGGCGACCCCCCAACCATAAAATTATTTTCGTTGCTACTTCATAACTGCAATTTTGCTTATATGTTATGAATCGGGCAACCCCTGTGAAAGGGTCGTTCGACCCCCAGGTTAAGAACCACTGCTCTAGGACAAAGTAGAACTGCCCTTGAGGTTTCTGAGACTTTAGAGAGCAGACAACCTCTTTTTCACCTGAACAGGAATAATTGGTGTTTGAACTGCTGACATTACAGTAACTCAATGCATAACCTACTATGCCTCCAGGGCCCCTTATACCAACAATAATTATTATAAAATGGATTATGCTGAGTACCATCTAATTATGCACTAACTTGTGTTCCAAGTGAAATTCACATAGCAATACTATAGGTCAGAAGAGAAGAACGGGTGCCCTGTGGGTTTCCAAGGCTGTAAATCTTCACTGGAGTAGAAAGTGCCATCTTTCCTTCAGGGAGGAGCTATGGGTTTAGACACCACCTTTGTGGTTAGTAGGCCCACAAATACACCAGAGCTCTTTAAGAGTCACTTTGAGTCTGACTGTGTGGGATACAACTGGATGGCAGTGTGTTTGTTGATCTGGAATTAAATTCTAATAGTCCTATTAGCCCCATTTTATGCATACGATTGGAATTTCAATCTATATAGCTCTAATTTGGAAGTTTCTATATTTAAATGAATATTTTACTGTAGTTTAATAGTAAATTCACTAATTTAATTTACAACCACAGATTTACTTTTTATAGTTCTGTTCCATGACTTTAAATATTTTCTGTCAATAATTCATAATCCCCTAGACCAGGCCAAGCCATTCAAGAATGTTATGCTCCACTGGATTCCAAATAGCTACTATACCTTCATGCTGTGCACCTTGGAACCAAAAGGCAGATTGCCAACTCTGTACACACTTGTTTATGTGTCCACAATGCAGAACACGCAAAATTTAAAACTACTGTACCACCAAGATATTACTGCAAAAACTTAGAAAATAAGAAAACCAGAAAGTAAAATTAAACTTCTCTCAGATCATACTAAGTGAACCTAAAGAAGCCAGACATGGCTGAAATGAAAATATTCTTCATAAATGCATTATATAAAGTTTATGATAAAGCAAATATTGAATCTTAATTAAATATATATGACTTATTTTAAAACAGGCATTCGGATATGAAAATAATAATTTATGATTTATCAAGGGTTGGGGGGAGGATCTGATATGAAGGGCTCAAATAGAAAATAAATGTTTAGAAAATGATGGCAACATATGTGCAAATATACTACAGATGTATGGATTGTTATAAGAGCTGTAAGAGCCCCCAATAAAATGATCTTTTAGTAAAAAAAAAAAAAACACCTTAAAAAAAAGCATTCACCAGTTTTAAATTCTGCTTTCTCCCTTTAATGTAATCTTACATGTATGAAAATACCAATAACTGAAACATATATAATTCATTCAAAATGCATACTGTTATAGACCAATTCATACAAATGCTCTAAAGGTTCTTTTCCTAGTAACAACCATCAAGTTTTTTTGAAAAACAACACTTTTATTTAGTGTGCTTGAAATAGAACATGCCTAACAACTGAGACTTTTCAGGCTGTCTGAAAGACAGACTCTATGCTGGGTACGTATTTAAGCTTAAATATCCAGAGTAATGACTTAAGGGGATAGTTTGTGTTAACTTTTCTTTACCAAAACATTAAAAAGATATAAGGGTTTAGCATGGTACCATAGTAAGTACATTTAATATATGAATTCCTTTCATCTAAAATGGATTTACCTAGTGCTGATCAATTTGAGTAACATGGAAAACGCGTTGAACACGATGAATAAATAAACATGGCTCATCATATTTTTAAAAACCCAAGAAATTAAATTGTGGTCACAAAAATTACTCTTCAGCAACTAGGACCAAGATCCAAACCCACTGTCTTCTTATCAACTCAGACTGAGCCTGTATGCACAGGGTAATACAAATTTACTACATCTTTTCCTTCCACGGAAGGCTGGTGAGCCAGAGCCCTTCACCACTGTGCTACCACAGCATGCAAGTACCTGGTAGGCCTTCAAAGCTGGATTATGGAATTAAGATTTTAAATCTCAATATTCAGATTTTATCATCTCACCTCCCAAAGAAGGTAGATTGGTTCTTTCATAACGTTGGTGAAAGAAAAAAACATCGTAACAATGACCATCAAAATAAGAGTTAAATGACCAAAGTAACGATTTCTTTTCTAGAGGGGGGAAAGCAATGTTTGTTCATGGGGGGGCCTAATTTGACGAACAAATACTGATTTGGCACTACTCTATGCCAGGCACCAATGTAAGATATTGATATGATTTTCAATGAAACAAAAAATCGATTCAAAATCAAACTGCAGAGGATGATTCTAACTTTGAAAGCAGCAATCTGGAGTCGTACTTTTTCTTCAACAGTAACAACTCTTAAATCCCCACTCAAAGCACGGAGTCGAACTACACCGTTACGCCGGGCGGTCGGATAATTTAGCAGATGGAAGCCAACAAAACGTGCATTTACAGGAGCCTGCCGTCCCAAGTTTGCCATGCACGAAGTCATGACAGTATCTATCACCTCTCCTGGTTTCGAAGCCTTCCCTTTCCTCATGCAAAACATCTATCCCAAAGGAAAAATAGATAACCTCCTAATTAGAATGTTCAGACACGTGCACGTTTATGAGGGCTTAAAAATACGAGTTATTGAAAAGTGCTCCCTTTAAAGCTGGCACACCTAAAAGATGACGGGCTGCTGGAAGCGAGTCCGGCAAAACAAGCAAACAGAAGCGATTCAAAAAGCCGTTGGGAAGAGAAAAAAAAAAACACAACAAAACCCCACACACATAAAAGGCGGGAATTTCCTGATTTCAAATTCTGGTTTGAAAACCGAAGTGTCCCAGAGTACCCTCCAGGGAGCGCTCTGCGACTGCAACAGTCGTCATTTCAGTTAATCAAGCGGGAAAAGGCTCGGACGTAACCGAGCGCGTTTCTGGCTTTTGAAAAGGGCGCAGGAAGTGGGGCTCAGGACCCGCTCCCGTCTAGAAACGACCTAGAACTTGCCCGCGCGGGCCGGCGCGCACGTGCACAGGATCGGCTGCAAACATGCCCTTCCCGCCTCCGAGACACACGTCCCCACACGAGGGCCCGGAGCCGCCAACTTGCCGGGGCTCCGCTC